TCGACACGAGCCTCGCTCCTTGAGCGACCACAGGAGGAAAATCCTCTGCGGCAGAACTTGCGGGGCATCACAGCCTTCGCTTTGTCACTGTGGGCAGTCCTGGCACAATGGATACACCTCCAGGACCCCCGATGCCACTCTAGCGAATGTCGAGACTCAGGGGGGGTAGCTCAGCACGACGCAGGCGGGCCCATGGAGGATGGGAGGCGTTCTGGGCGCGGCCAGTGGTGTCATCAAAGGTGCCGATGCTACATGTCATGGCACCAGCAAGGCCGAGCATGGACGACACCTGCTTAGATCTGGCCACCCAGGTAATTATGTGTGGCATGCTGGGGAACGGCGCACATCCTCGCACCTGCTTTGGCCTGGAGGTCTGCCGCCTGATTGCCTAGGTGGTGGCACAGCTCGAGCCCCTCGAGGTGCGCAGCGTCGGTCTTCTTGGAACGCGCTCGAACCTTGACGACGACGAGGTCCCCCTCCCCCCCAGAGAAGGAATCTTCGATCGCATTCCATATCATGTGCCCAAGGTCGGCATGGGGGCGCCTGGCCCGGCGCCACCACATCGGTCCTCGGGGGAAGCCTCTGACCACGGCAGCATTGCCTGTTCCTGCCTGGAGCGGCGCCGTGCCGTGGCGCAACACATTCAGGAAACCATTGAAGGGGCCCCAGGACACACAAATAAATACACACAAATAAAAAGATCCCCCATGTTTTCTCATATTTTCTGGGTTTTTGTCTCCCCCCCCACTTCCCATATTTTCCAATATTTTCTGGGGAATCGAGGATTACTTGTGTCTGTGTGTTTCTTCTTCTCCTCCTGACCTTAGATATATCTGGGCCTAACGTGCCCCTGGGGCAGTGCCATGCATCGCCTTTTGGACATTGCCCTGGTCATCACCAAAAGCAATGTCCAACCGAACGCCTTCAGCCCAGGGGCCCCGACACCCGATCCGTCCGAATAGGCAAATCCAGATAGGAGGGGATCGTCCCCGAACTCGGGATCAAGGGCCTCGGTACTGGGCGTGACGTCCAGGAAGAGCCCCCCCCAGCGGGTGGGGAACGATGGCCCTGGAGAGAAGGCGGGGGGAGGGATCCGAGGTGGCAGCACGATGGACAATCTCGGGGAACTCTTCACCAGAAGCTCCACGCTGCTCCTGGAAAGCTGGGCACTGACAAAAACGGTGGCGGTGGTGGTTCCCTACCTCATGCCCGCATCTCTGGCAACTGCAACGCTCAGAGTGGCCTGCCTTCCAGACTTTGTCCTGGGTCCAACAATATCCGCCCAAGAAAGCCAACATCGCAGACCGCGTCTGTCCACGACCCTTCCTCTTCGAACGAACAGCGGCACGACAAGGCTCGAGGAATGGCTGGCGAAACGGCATGCCGCGGATCGTAGCCCTCTCAGAGAGCTCCTGATCCTCGAGCCGAAGATGAATATACTTGCGAAGAGTGCTGGGCGCCGTTCGGCGCATACCGACCAGCTCTCCAGTGTGCAGCCGGCTTGTGTGCCAGCAGGGCCAAGACCACCCCGGGCGCTGGAGCGTCAGGCTGCAGGCCGAGGCTGGTCCTCTAACCTGGCTTCAAGGGCGGTCGAGCGGACGGCTGCGCCTGGCCGCCTCAAGGGACATCTCTCGGCGCAATGCCCTAGCCATGTCCAATTCATGTGTGCCCTTTCACGCCTGGGCAGCCCAGCGGCTTCTGCGAGGCTTCAACAACTGGGTCAACCTGATAGGCCCAGAGCCTCAAGACTCTGTCGCGCCCGATGGCATTGCCATCGAGACTCCCCGAGACCATGACACGCATCCTGGCCAGGGAGACTGGGGAAACATCCAAGCAACTGGACCCGTAGGTCACGGATTAAATCACTCCTTGCCTAACGACTCGGGACAGGCGGGCTCCCTGCTTGGGCGAGGGCTCTTAATTTCATCTTGCGCTTGATGGCATACTTGAAACGCTTCTGCACCTTACTTCGATTCCTGACCACAGCGCCTGTAGCGCTGTCCACACTCAGCTGCGTGCTGGCGGTGGTGCTGGTAAGACCCAAGTCCTTGGCCCAGGGCGAGTAGCGTCTCCGAGCCAAGGCCGAGGCGGCGAGGATGTACCCTTTCCCCGCGGGCGTCACGGGCGACAGGGATGCTCCAGGTGCCCTCTATCTGGTACATGTAAAAGGTGACAGCGGCCTGCAGCGTAGAGAGACGGTCGAGTGCTCCACGCACTTGGATGCTGAGACCATCGACCAACATCTTCATCTGGAGCCGGGGTCCCCAAACACGATGGATGGCATCCGTAACCTGGAGCACTACCATTTTGAGAGCGAGCGCGCCTGATATGGATCCTGCAACCACGGCCGAAAAAGTGCGTAGCGTGCAGCTGGCAAGCACACAACTGAAGGCGACCAGCCTCGTGGAGGTATAGATACTGATGAGGAGCTGGGCTAGTTGCTGTGGGGATCCACACAGCGGGGGCACCACCCACAAGACTGGCATCGTGACATGCTCGAACGCCCGACACAGATCAGATCCAACTCGCCGACACCTCCCCCTCACGCGCCCCTTCGTCGTGCACCATCTGGTGCCATGCGGCATCCTCGGAGCCCCCTTCCAGGGCCCCCGAAGTCGTGCTCTCCTGTTGCGGAGCGCTCCCAATCGTGGAGCAATCCCGAGTGAGTTGTCTCCACAACTCTCATAAGGGCGGGGAGCAGGCCGGTAGGACGGGTGCCACTTGATTCCTTCGAGAGAAGGAAGTCAATCATGTACCTGACCTGCTGTGTAAACTGTGCAGTGCGCGAAATGAGCATGACCAACTGGATGAGGCAATCCTTACATTCGCCAGAGAGCCAGGCCCACCAGCGTGGGTGCCAGCGGTCAGCTCCGATCCCGCCCTGGCAGGAAAACTCAAGCAGATGTTCGTGAACAGATCCGTGAAGCTCTTGCAAAGTTCTACAAATGAATGCGAGCGAGGATACGGCGACAGACACATTGGTAACGACCTGCCCTCCCTCTGTGAGGTCCTTGCGACATGTTAAGACCTAGATGTGTGGTGCCAACGCGAGCGCCACATGTTGAACATGACCCGCCCTCCATCCGTGAAGCTCCTGCAAAATTTTCAAATGAATGCGTGCGTGATGCGAACGCGAAACGCATATTGGAAAGGACACGCCTTTCATCCGTGAAACCTCTTGCAAACTTTCAAAGACGACGTGCGCGGCGCTGGGGCGAAAACTTCTTTTGAAAACGGCCTACACTCCATCCGGCAATCGTTTGCAAACTTGTGGAACGTACTTGCGCGGCGTAAGGCGGCGAGAGCCAGAGTTTGAAAACGGCCCGCCCTCCATCATTGAAGCTGATGCAAACTTGTAAACATTAGTGTGCGCGGCACCACGGAGGAAGCCACATTTTGAAAAGGAGCCATCCTCCATGCGTGGCAACCGTGCAACATTGTATGACGGATGTTCGTGGCGCGACTGCAAGAGACACATGTTGAAAAGGACCTGCCCTCCATCCGTGAAGCCTTCGGGAGCTAGTAAGACGAATATATAATATGCGGGGGGCGAAATGCGAGAGACACATTTTGAAAACGGCCCGCCCTCCATCCGTGAAGCTCCTGCAATTTGTAAAGACGAGCGTGCGCGGCGCGAGGGCGGAACACGTGTCGAAAACGACACGCCCTCCGTCCGTAAACAGCCTCTTGCAAACGCTTAGGACACATGCGCGGTGGCGCAAATGCGAGAGACACGTCTTGAAAACCACCCGCCATTCCAGCCGTGAACCTGCCGCAAGCGTCGAAAGCACACACGTGCGCGGCGCCAGGGCGAGAGGGCCTCGTCTCGAGAACGGCCAGCCCTCCAGCTGGCAAGCCTCTGCAAGCCTGTGAAGCGCACGTGCGAGGCGCTGAAGGGAGCCGTGAAACCGCTGCAAACGTTGAAAACACACGGGCGCGGCGCCAGGGCGAGAGAGAGCCTCGTCTTGAGAACGGCCGGCCCTCCGGCCGGCGAGCCTCCGCAGGCCCGGGAAGCGCCTGTGAAGCGGGGCGCCGAAGGGGGGCCGCAGCTGGAAGAGGATCCGCCCTCCGCCCGCGAAGCCCCTGGCAGGCTCGTCAACAGTGAGCGCGCGCGGCGCGCAGGGGAGAGTTCAGTCGGGCCTGTCCTTCTCTGCAGGGGGAACATTCGAAAATGGCAAAAATAACAATCCAGGGGCAATGTTTGTTGGACCATCTTTGGATACTTTTGGGGGGTATTTTTCTGGGGCATGTTTCATTTGTCGCCCAGAATCCCCCTGTAAAGGGGACAGGCCCGACCTCATGGGAGAGCCACGGGTTGAAGAAGGGACCACACTCCCACCGCGAAGATCTGCACAGTTTGACGACGGATGCGCCCGGCGCGATGGCGAGAGACACGCATCGACGAGGGCATGCCCGCCATAGTCGAAGCCTTTGCAAGCGTTTAGGACAAGTGCGCACAGTGCTGAAGCGATCATCACAACTTGAAAAGGACCCGCCCTTTATCTGTGAACCTCTTGCATGTTATCAGCTTCAGAACCATGAGTTGCGAAGCAGTCTCAGGCGAAACGCCCGGCCCGCCCCATCGACGCGTCTGGCGGTACGACAAGGAGGAGTTACCTATAAAAGAAATCAAGAAGAGGGGTGGCACACTATGATGTCGAAGCCCGAACATCTCAGAGCAAACGCGGAAGCCCACAAGACGACCAGTGAGCCGTGCCCGCTAGCAGCCACCAACACCACGTGAGCGTCAAGCGAATCTCGATGTTTTCACAGGGAGATATGAATGCGCAACACAACAGGGAGAGGAGGGAAGAAGTGGAAGAGGAGGACGAGGGAGGAAGACGAGAGAGAAGGAACTGCCATGAGGGGAAGCGGTCCTGAGGGATACCCTGGGGCTTCCCTCGAGACCAGCATCTCCTCCCGCGCCGCTCTCTGACAATCCCAGGGCCCAGGGGGAAGCCCTGGAGAGCCCTTGTGGAGAAGAGGGGGGGGGACCTTTTGGAGCCTCTTGGCCATGCCACGAGGGTCGAGCTACACCCAGCGATGAGGAGGTGCCGCCAGAATCCTACAGGGCTGCCTTGGCCTCAGGCTCGGGCGTGGCCGCGGCTCACGGGCCAGAACCCGAGGCTGTCCGCGAGGCCGTCGCGGGCCGCCTCACGAAGTCGCGCGAGTACATCAGGAGGTACTCGGGGTACACCTGCGGGGCCGCCGCCGCTGCGCCGCCGAGCGGACATAGGGGGGAGGGATAGGGGAAGGGCTGGGGGAGGCGGGGGCGAGGGAGGGAGGGAGGGAGGGAGGGAGGGAGGGGACGAGTGATGGAGAGGGGAGGGAAGAGTAGGCAAGAAGCTCCAGGGGGTGCGCAATCCTGTGCGAGCGAAGGGTCCGAACGCACCAAAGGCGGGTTTGGGGCCGATTCTCCATGATATCGAATCGAAGTTTTAGCTTGTGAGAATCAAGGCCCACCAAGATCTGAATAACGCCGCAACGCCTCTGGAGAGACGGTACGTGAAGGGTAACGGTTGGGCCGATCAACTGCCCGAATTGGCGGCCAGAAAGAATAGTGTGTCGCACAACGGTGTAGCTCATTTCAAGGGGGCAGTGTAATGAAACGAATATGTGGACGTTGCAAGGATCGACATTCTGGAGGTGCCCTCCGCCTGTGAGCTTTCGGGAGTCTCAGCCGGACTCCAAGATCACCCGCCGCTGCCACGGAGCGGCGGCAGTACGATAGGGTCTGGGACGGTGGCCGGTATGAATGACTCTCTGGCCGCAGAGCGGGGGCCCAAATTTTGGCCACCACCCAATATTTCACTCTACCCATCTTGCAGCATGATTCCCCAAAATGCCTTGGTCCCAGGGTTTATCCACGGCGTGCGCATGACCACCACTGTTGCCACCGGCGCTCCAGTATTGCTCTGCATGGTATGCGGGGCCACTGCTGCTAGCAAAGCGATTCAGTCGAGGTCTGCTTGCGCACACACACACACACGCGCGCCCGAACAGTGCCCTGAGGAAGCTGAAGAGAGGGGAACCTCCAGGGTGCAATACGAAGACTCTCATCAGCACACTCTGCCGCCTGAGAGCGCTTAGAAGGCTGAGAAGGAAGGGAGAAGAAGGAAGGGGTGAGGAGAGGAAGTGTAGATGAGGCAGGCTTGCTCGAAAGGGACCAAGACCTCCGACGACTCGTTGTTTCGAGTTTCAAGCCAATGGAGCCCCCGACTCCTTCCAAAGGGCATGTCGGTTGATTCCGAGTCGTGTCTCTTCGACAGCGCAGGAGCTCGACAGCGGCCTCCGAGACTGGGAAATTGCGAAAAAGCTGCGAGCATTGCGAATCGTTGGAGTCGCCAGGGGTCTGGGGAGATGGCTGGTTTCCGAAACCCTGAACCCTAGAAGCAACACTATAAACATACACTTTTGGCGCCCAGCGCTGACTTCTTGGATCTGCGCTGGACCCCCCTCCCTGGCGCGCTCCGCGCGCCAGGGGCGGCGCGGGAGGCGCCGCCAGGGGGGTCCCAGCGCGGCTCCAAGAAATCCGCGCGGAGCGCCAAAAGCTTATGCTTGTGGCGTTTTGTGGCTTGTGGTTTCTGCTGCTTTGTTTTTTTTTGCTTCTTCCATACGGCAGGTTCGTGTCGTGCCGACCCCAGCGTTGGTTTTTGACACCGCAGGGATCGTTCAACCTTGAACGATCGGCCGCTGCCGTAACGTCCGATCGTTCAACATCGATCGATTCTGGGTCGCCGTCGGCGTTCAACCTTGAACGCCGGTGGCGGGGTCGCCGCTGGTCGACACGACGCAAACCTACCGTAACCAAAAACCCTCTGCGAGAGCACGCAACCAGTGCCGTCTCCCTTGCAGGCCGAGGCCGCCGCCGCCGTCCTGCGGGCGAGGTACCGCCCACGGCGGGGCCCACGCTCTGGGCGCGCCTGGTCGATCTGTTCTCCAGAGATGGAAAGAACACACACGGCAAAAACAGGAGAAGCACGAAGCACCAGACGAGCTACTGATACTGCCAAGTCGCGGGGGGCGCGCCTGGTCGCTGTCGTGGATGACGACCTCCCGAAAGGGCTTCCCCAGGTGCCGGACGCGGTCCCCGAGCACGGAGTGGTGGCGGCCGTGCAGGACCTGCACGGAGGCCGCGAGGGCGGCGAGGGCGACCGTCGCGCCTCCCCATCGATGCGCCCTTCCCTCGTCTTCAGCCTGCTCCTCTGTGCTCCTCCGCTTTCCTCCTCTCCCATTCCCCCCCTCTCCAGGCTTCTCCCCCTCCCCCTCCACCGCACCTTCTTCCTACCCGACCGCCGAATAGTACAACAGTAACGGCGACGACGACGACGAGAAATGCGTACGCCGACGCTAACGCCGAACGACGCGGACGCCAGCGCCGACGACTTGGACGCCGACAGCGATGACGACTGCGACGACGACAACGACGACGTCGATGATGACGACTGCGACGACGACGACGACGACGACGACGACTAATACGGAGAAGCGGTTCCTGGGCATTGGCAGAACTGGGTTTAGTGGGACCTGGTTTAGTTATGTGCATCGGGGGGCGCCCCCCCCGCCCCGTTCCACTAACTGGAACTGCCGTCCCCCGAAAAAACACCAACTACGGCAGACCTGGTTTAGTGATTCTGGCCAACTTAGGGGCCCCGGGGCCCTACCACTAACCGGGTATAGCCAGGACACCAGATAAGGGGACCCGGTTAGTAGTAGGGCCCCAGAGCCCCTATATTGGCCAGAATCACCAAACCATGTCTGCCGTAGCTGGTGCTTCTTCGGGTGGCGGCAGCTCCAGTCAGTGGAGCGGGGTCTGGAGGGGGGGGCGTCCCCTGGTATTCATCATATAAAATCAGGTCCCACTATAAACCCAGTTCTGCCAACGCCCGACCCCGGGTCCCGGATCCCGAGGCTTTGCCTCCTCCTGGCCTTGCCGTGAGGCCGCGCTCCTTCTGTCCCCCCCTCTTTGTTAGTTCAAGCTTCGCGCGGCCCGCTTAGCTTCGACCGGAAGAGGTGCGCTCTCGACCCGCGAATCAAAAAAGTGTCAACCAGACCAGCCAGCTTTGCATCCTGCTCCGCTGCTCGTGATCCGCGGGGCCCGCGGAGCGCCCAGGGAGGCCACAAACCAGGAAGAGCTTGAGGCCTCTTGAGACCTCTTGCCCTCAGGACTCGCCCCTCGGGACCCTCTCAGCAAGCTCACACCCAGGACAAAGAATGTGGCAATTGGGACTCGTCCCAAGCTTAAAACCTCTTCCCCTGTTTTGAGACCTCTTTCCCTCAGGACTCGTTGCGAACATGGCGATGAGGACAAGGACGACAACGACGACGACGACGACGACGGCGGCGGCGGCGGCGGCGGCGACGGCGTCCGAACGGCCCGGGCCGGCGGCCGAGAGGGCGCGGGCGCAGCCTGCGTCCGCAGTGCTTCGGCATCGATTCTGTCCTTGAAGGGCCCCCGCCACACTCGGAGGGCTGAGGTTTCCTCTCCCCTCGCCCTTTTCCTCCTCCTTCTCCTCGTCGTCGTCCTCCTCCTCCTCATTCCCCTCGGATCCCGAAGCCGTCCCCATGTTTGGCCTCCTGCTGACTACAGAGCCTCGCGATGTTGGGCATCTGCCGCGTCATGCCCCTGGACCTCGCGGCCACCCTTTTTCCGATGTCGGCCCCGCGGTGGCGGTCCTGCCGCGCGGCTGGTGAGCGGATGCTCTTGGTAAGCTAACTCGACAGCAGGCGGCAGACCGTGGTAACAAGGGCAACTGCCGCATTCAGCTCCAAAGCTCGGCCGAGCCGCAGCGGCTTTGCCCAAACTCAAGGCGCTGGTCAATCTCATCGTACTATTCAGACTCAGCAGGCTCAACCGGAAGCAGATCCGCGCGACGGGGTGCAACGCAGAAGATTGTCATCGCGGCCGCGAGGGTTGCCTGAATGGAGCGCCCTATCCAGGTTCGGGAGCGGCCAAGAGGGGGGTGTCCAATAGGGGGGGGTGCAAGTCATGACCGGCGGCATGTGCGCGGACAGGCGGGGGGGCCTGGGACGTAATGAAATAAGAAGAATCGCCATGAAATCTGAGGAAAAATCATGGCCCGCGCCATGAAATCCACCCCCCCTAGTCATCACCCCCCTCTTTTCCGCTCCCGACAGGTTCCGAAGCGCGGCAGGTTGGGCGGGCGCGCCAGAGGACTGGCGCAAGGCCGAACGCTCGAGCGCGGGCCTCGATCCATGCCACGCCCAGGTGGCTGCTGCCTGCTCCGCGCAAGGCCAGCAGCCGTCGCGCCGAGGACGCGCGGTCCACCTGCCGCTCCGCTCCGCTCCAGCTCCAGCTCCAGGGCCCCAGGGCGCGCGACCCGCCGCAGGCGCCGCAGGCGCCGCGGGCGCCTCGAATCATGAGGCGCAGGCGTGGCGGCGGCGTCGCGCGCGCGGCGGGCACAGTGCCCAACAACAAATGTTGCCCCAAACCAACAGCGGCCGCTGCTGGGCAGGCGGCCTTCTGCCTCGAATGGGCACAGGACACAGGCCGCGGCGGCGCGGACAGCGAGCCCTGTTCAAAATGAACAGGAACTGCTGTTGGGCATTGTGCCCATTCTTTCCGTGCCCATTTCGGGCGTCCAGATGATCACCGCAGGCGCTGCGCACGACTCGGCGCGTTGGATACTCCGGCGCAGGCCTCGCCTCGCCATCGAAGTGCCAGCGCAAGAGCCGCGGAGGGGGCCGATGTTTCCGCGGTAGCTGCGCGCGGCCAGGAGCAGGCGCCGCGGGCGCGTCAAAGGATTGGGCGCAGGCATATCCTCGCTATCGCGGTGTTAGCACAGGGGCCACAAGCATGAGCCTCTGTCAGCGCAGGCACCGCCCATGCGAAAGCGCAGGCGCCTCCGGCACTACAAATCATTGGGTGTAGGCGTCGCCCTGTCATTGCAGGCGCTGGCGCCAGCACGCCAGACCTCTTTTTCCCCAAAAGAGTGCTTTTGGGTTTCTTGGACGCCCGAAATGGGTACGGAAAGAATGGGTACAATGCCCAACAACAAATGTTGTCCCGAGCCAACAGCGGCCGCTGTTGGGCAGGCGGCCTTCTGTCCCGAATGGACACAGGCCGCGGCGGCGTGGAAAGCGAACCCTGTTCAAAATGAACAGGAACTGCTGTTGGGCATTGTGCCCATTCTTTCCGTACCCATTTCGGGCGTCCAAATTATTTCTCTCAACCTTCTCGGGACCAGAGCCGGCTTCTGCGAGCGGTGCCGCCAGTCGTCGTCCTTCGCCGCTCGTCTCGGGACCAGGGCCAGCCGTCGCAGTCGGTGCCGCCCGTCGCCGCCGTCGCCGCCGACGTCGCCGTACCATCGCCGCCCTGCTTTGCTTTGTTTTGGATTGGTTTGCTTTACTTTGCTTTGCTCTACTGTACTTTACTTTGCCTTGATGTGACTTTGATGTGATTTGATTTGCTTTAATGTACCTGGCTTTCCTTGAGCATTATTAAGTCTGAGTTACTGTGCCTTACCTCACTTTACTGTGTATTGATTTGCTCAGCATGGATTTACCTTTACTTTCGTGGTTTACTATGCGCTATGTTACTTTACTTTGATTCGCTCTCATTCAGCTTACTTTGAATTACCTTACCTTACCCAATTCTAATGTAATGTCTTTGCGTTGAATTTGCTTTGCTTTGTTTACTTTAACTTTACGTTGGCCGACCCTACCTTATCTTATCTCCCATTACTTGAATATTCTCCCGTTTGCGCTACTCTAATTTGCTCAACCTTACTTTACATGACCGTACCACGCTTTACTTTTACAATACTTTACCTATTATACTTGACATTGCTTTGGATGGCTTTACTTTGCTCCACTTTACTTCCCCGAACAGTGATTGCACTGAACAATTCTTACTTTTCTTAACCATGTCGGGACCATGGACGGCTTTTCGTCGCCGAGCCACCCGTCGCCGTCCGTCGCCGCCGTTCGTCTCGGGACCAGGGGCGGGTATCGCCGTCCATTCCGCACGTCGCCGCCGTCGCCGCCGCCGTCGCCGCACCGTCGCCGCCGCCGTCGCCACCGTCGCCGCCGTCGCCGTCGCCGCTGCTCGGGGCGAGTGGCGTTTTTTTTGCGGGCGGTGTTGCCCGTCGCCGCCGTCGCCGTCGCCGTCGCCGTCGCAAACATTCGCGTGCTAAAAGAATCGGGAGACTCACTCCCCAAAAACTGATCGGCCACCCGTGGGGATGTGCAATTCAGAAACCATTTTGCCCCACCGTCCACCTCTAATATGAATTCGTTTCATCCCACTCCAACTGGTATCGGCCCCCCCCGCTATCCATTGCCAAAAAACTACTGGCGTGCACTCGTTTTCCTTTTTTTATGTAAAAAAACAATACAAAACCCAGAATGTTCAAAACCGCTTGCAACAAACAAAACAAAACGCCGTCGTGCGTTCATGCCGAAATCCTCCAAAAACCTTGGACGTCGCAGGGATGTTGAAATCGAGTGCCCACAAAAGCATATACATACACTTGGCTTCGCAACACGAATGTGCAAGAAAAGCGCGCGCGCAAATGTTAATTCTTAAAATCAGCATCAGTTTTCCAATATGTTTATCATATGCTACCAAGCGGGCTTCGCGCGCGCATGCCAAAATGGTTCGAAGGCCCTTGCGCGCATGCTGTCGCGAGACTCTTGTTGACAAAACACAAGACGAAGTGCACGCGCGCGCGTCGTCGCGCGCGCATGCCAAAATCCTTCAAGAACCTCAGGTTCCACAGAGATGTCAAACCGATTGTCCCGCAACCAAATTTTTTTTTGTAAAACAAAAAAAAAAAAATGTGATTTCGCAACATCAGTTTTCAAAGCGCTTGCGCCCACGCGTTGGCAAATCCTTAGGACAACGATTGTTTTTCAACATGTTCATATAATCCTTCGAACGCCCTTGCGCGCGTGCTGGGGGAGGCACGACGCCCAAGTCGCCGATTCACACTGCAGTGTCCGCTGGAACGCGCCCAGCGGTCAGTGCCACCGCGGCCGCGTCGGTCGCGCCAAATTAGCTGGCCGCTGCGCGCGCGTGCCTGCGCGGGCTGGCGCGGCCGCACAGATGCACCAGCCGACGCCAAGCACTTATCGCAATCGCCGCCGCATGAATTTTGCAAACCAAGTTGCGCTCTGGTAGGTGGGATATTTGCGCGAGCAGTGGAGTGGGTGACTACCTGCGAATATGACGAAATTCTTCTTTCGAAGTGCAAGAAATTCGTTTCCACTCCTCCCCCCAGGAAAATGTACATATGATTCTGCCCCATCGTCTATCCTATTTTTGAACTCGTACCATCCCAACCCAACCGGCATCGACCTCCTCCGTCATCCTCTGCAACAAAACATTCCACGCGCCATGGGAATATGTATAACTTGCTCTTAGCCCTGTCCTCCTCGCCCTGGCGGGCGCCCTCCTCTCGCCCTCTGCCCTGCCCTCTCTTCCTCCTCCTTATATTTCTCCCCTCCTCCTCCTCGTCATCCTCCTCCTCCATCTCATTGTGTTCCTCCTGTTCCGCCGCCTCCTCCTCGTCGCCCTCCTCCCCCCTCCTCCTCCTCCTCCTCCTCCTCCTCCTGCCTCTTCTCCACGTGCACCTCCCCTTCCCCCTGGTCGGGGCAAGCAAATCGATTTTCCTCGGCGCCGTCGCCGCCTCGGCCAGCGCGCGCGCGCGTTCGCCGACGGCTGGGCCACGACGCCTTCGGGGCAACCCCGCGGGCCGCCGGGGCGCGCGGGAAGGCCGCCGGGACAGCTCCGCAGGCCTCGAGGCGGCGCGGCCGCGGTCAGGCGGGGGCCAGCGCGAAGCCCAGCCGAGCTGCGAGCTGCTCCGCCTCACCCCTGGAGGTCTTCGCTTTCTCATTGAACTTCTCGAGCGCATTCCGCGAGGGCGCCGGCGGCCCGCGCTCCAGAAACTCGCGCGAGGGCGGCCGCGGGATCAGCGCGTTACGCGAGCGCGTGGCGCGGGGGAACATGGCGTAGAGGCGCGGCCACCGCTGGTCGTCCGACATGCCCGCGCGGCCAGCGTCCTCGCTCCTCGCGCAATCGACGAGGCCCTCGCGCAGCGTCTGGCCATGCGACAGCGCGGGGGCGAGGCGGGGCGCGCGCGCCAGGGCGGACCCCGAGCGGCGCACGACGCGCGGCCCCGGGCTCTGCCACGTGAGCTCCTCATCGCTGGACCTGAAAATGAGCGAACTCCTCGGCCGCGCCTCGGCCTCGCCGTCGTCGTCGACGCTTTCGACGCCCTGCCGCAGCAGCTCTGGTTTCTCCAAGTAGATCGGAAACTCCCCGATACCCCGCGGTAGGTAGCGGGGGCGAAAGAGCTGGCCCAGCCCGCGCCCCTCGCACTCCGAGCGAAGCCCGAGGGGCCCAAAAATGACGACAGTCACGGGATTCGCATGACCTCGCTCGGAATACCAACACAAACTGCGGGCCCCATATGCCCCCCG